TTCAAATCACAGCAGTATCAAGCAGATCTGGCTATGAAATTTTTATAAGCATTATAAACCTTTTCTTTTCATAGTAAATTTTTTTCAATTGATAACTATACTATTGAGAAGAACTGTCTACCTTGATCCATGAGCATCCTTCACATTCTTGCTCAGTTTGTCAGACTGCAAGGCATATGTAGATAGCTACATAGGCAACTGAGTAAATTTAAAGAATCATATTCACTCCCAAAAGAAGGGACTGACTTATTTGCTCCTCGATGCAATGTTTGTTGCTTGCTCAAAAGATACTTGATATCTACCTGGCTTTCTCTCCTGTAACAGCACTTTCTCTAGTGTTGGCATCCATTAAGATCCAACTGTATTGTTTTCTTCCTACTTCCCCCTCCTCACTACATGGAACAGAAGACAAATATAACCATAAGAAGACAAATATAAACAGAAGAACTGATATAAACATAAAGCTCTGTGTCTTCCTTGAGTAATAAAGTCTTTTATCTCTTGTCCAGGGAACTCTTGTCTTCTAAAACTAACCATGGAATAGTAACAAACTAACTTATTAGATTGTAAGTAGGGTGAAATCTCAGAAGCTTTACAGTTCTAGATACATACAAACAACAGCTGATTTTATTGACTGCTATGTCCATAGTCATGGTGCTACTTCCTTTTTGTGCGTTATGTTATTAGTGCTTCACTATAGTCCATTTGCAGTTTGATTTTACAGAATGGCTACATAACTCACCCAAAGTGGTATAACCAGATATCAAACATGGTGGTTTTACTGACTTGAAAATGTATGCCCATACATCTGTACTATGCCATGCTATCTCATATTAATATATGATCCTCTGTCCCCTCACATATTTGCAAGTATTTTCATTGGCTCAAACACTATAAAACATCATCATCCAGAGTTCAGAATAAGGAAGACTGACCTTGCATTTCTGTAAACTTATTTCTTAATATTCCTGCCTTTCCATCAGGCCTGGCCTATTTGCTAGTCTCTTTTTTTATTCATGCTTTCCTAGGTTCTATGGTTCAGTTGCAAGGCAGGGCATAGAGATGGGCTGCAAAGTGATGAGGCTGTGGTGGTTACTGAAAGCGACCCTTCAGCTTATTCTCTTCTTGCTATGTGAAGGTTAATATACAAAATCATTTGTGTATTTATGTACTAAATTTCAATAAATGGAAATTGGAATTTTATTTTTATTTACTCATTTGTTTCATTATTTTTTGAGACCAGGTATCACTCTGTCACTCAGGCTGGAGCATACCTATGCAATCACAGTTCACTGCAGCCTCGACCTCATGGACCCAAGTGATCCTCCCACCTCAGCCTCCTGAGTAGCTGGGACTAAAGGCACGCACCACCACAGCTGGCTAACTTTTTACTTTTTGTAGAGAAAGGGCTCACTGTGTTGCCCAGGCTGGTCTCAACCTCCTAGACCTAAGCAATCCTTCTACACTCAGCCTTGGAATTTTAAAATACATTCATAAAACCATAAAACAGAATAAATCTAAAAATTATTTGGAAGATTTTCATTCTGAAAGCTAAAACATATTGGTGAGGGAGATTGACAAAGATCAAAATAAAGGTACTTGTTTTCCTGCATGACACAAGTTGACATTGTCAGTGTTTCAATTCTCACCAAACTGATTTATCAATTGAATGCAATGCTAATCAAAATCACAACAGGTATTTTTGTAAAAATTCACAAACAGATTCAAAATGTATATGAAAATGCTAAAGATTGCCAGATAATTTTCAAAGTGAAAATAAAGTTGGATAACTCACATGACTGGTTTCAAGTCTAAATGAGAAGATATTTGAATCAAGACAGTGTAGTATTGATTTAATAATGAATGATTATATCAATGAATGATAATGATTATATCAATGAAACACTCTGAAGAGTCCCAAAATAAACTCACACAGATACGATCAATTTATTTTTTAAAAATGTGTCCCACTAAATGGAAGTGAAAGTCATTTTTTAAAAAACAATGCTGAAACATTTGGACATCCATATGAGAAAATAATGTACTTCAACTCATATATAGCACTGTATACAAAAAACAATTCACAATGGATCAAAGATCAAAGTGTAAAGCTTAAAATTGTACAAATCCTAGAGTAAAACCCAGGAGAAACTTTTTGGTGACATTGGGTTAGGAAAGGAACTTAGATAAGTCACAGAAGCACAAACTGTAAGAGAATTTTTTTTCTTTGAAACACAATTATGCAAATAAAAGTACAAAGATGCTGAGTGGGAGAGAATATTTGCCAAGAGCTTATCTGATAAATGAGTTAGATACAGAATATATAAAGTCAATAATCTGAAAAAAAAGAAACCAATACAAATAGTCAAAAGATTTGAGCCCACATTTTACCAAAGAAGAGAAACTTTTTATGGAACTACAAAAACTCTAAATAGCAAAAGCTATTTACTTCAGAAGGAGCAAAGTTGAAAGCATCACATCCCCTGATTTCAAACTATATTACAAAGCTGTAGTAATCAAAATAGTATGATACTGGCAATAAAACAGACACATAGACCAATGGAACAGAATGGAAAGTGCAGAAATAAACCTAAGCATATATTGTCAACTGATCTTTGACAGGAGTGCCAAGATGCAATGGGGAAAAGAAAGTTACTTTAATAGTTGGTGCTAGGAAAACTGGATATTCACATACAAAAGAATGAAATTGGACACTTGTCTTACACCATGTAGAAAATTAAGTCAAAATGGATGAAAGAATTAAATATAAAATTTAAAACCATAAACCTAAAAAAAAAAAAAAAATCAAGAAGCTCCTCAACAACTTTTGTGGCAGTGAGTTTTATGGATATGACACTAGAAGAAAAAGCACAGATAACAAAAGAAAAAATAAGTCAGTTACATCAGACTAAAAGGCTTCCGCACAGCAAAGAAAACAATAAAATCAACAAAATGAAAGAGTAGCATGTTTAATGGGAGAAAATAATTGCAAACTGTATACTTAGGTATATACGTGTATGTGCATATGTATGTGCAAATATATATGATTAAGGGGTAAATAGCCAAAGTATATAATGAACTCACATAGCTCACTGTAAGAAAAACTCTTTTAAGTTTTTAAAATGAGCAAAGAACCTGAATAGACATTTTTCCAAAGAAGATATACAATTTTGTCCAACAGGTATATGAAAAGGTACTCACCATCACTAGTCATCACAGAAATTTAAATTCAAAGCACAACAAGATACCACTTTAAATCTGTAAGGATGAAAATTATCCAAAAGTCAAGAGGTAACCAGTGTTGGTGAAGGTATAGAGAAAAGGGGCCCCTTGAACACTGTTTGTGGGGATGCAAAGTGGTATAGTCACTACGGAAACAAGTATGGAGTCTCCTCAAAAAATTAAAAAATAGAACTAACACATGATCCAGTATTGTAATTCTGGATATTTTATTCAAAAGAAATGAAATTAAGATCTCAAAGAGGTATGTACCATCTCATGTTCATTTCAGCATTATTCACGATAATTATAATATGGAAACAATCTAAGGCCCATGAACAGATGAAAGGATAAAGAAATTGTGGTACATATCTACAGAATATTATTCAGCTACAAAAAAAAAAAAAAGAAATTCTGTCATTTGCAGTGGATCAATGTGGAAGACATTAGGTCAAGTGAAGTAAGCCAGACACAGACAGATAAATATTGCATCATCTTGCTTATGTGTGGACTCTTAAAAACCTGAAAATCACAGAAGCAGAGAGTAGAACGGTGGCTGCCAGGTATTGGAGAGTCAGAGCAAGGGAAGGTGTCAGTCATACAGCACACACTTTAAATCATAAGATGAACAAATTTTGGAGATCTAATGTGATACATTAATTAATAGAATTGTAGTTTCCTTTACAAAATGTATATCAAATCATCACATTATACACCTTAAATATGTTCCATTTTTATTTAATAAGTATTTTAAAATAAGAAAATGAAATTCAAATAAAAATCACAGTGTGAGAAGCCACTAACTCACCTAATAATAATTGACTCCAAGGGACACAAAGGGTCTCTTGGAGGTGATAAAGTATTCTATACATTGCTGATTATTTTGCTTATGCAACTATGTATATCAGTCGAATCTCATTGAGCTAAACAACAAAGGGTGAATTTTACTGTACGTAAACTAGACCTCAATAAATAGAAATTTAAAAGAGGCAAAAAAATTGCACTGAGCTCTAGTTAGAATCCCAGTGACTATGGTAGACTACATGAAATGATTGTTTACATAGATTGCACTTGATTAAATACACATGCATTTCTGCTTACATGGTAACAATTCAGGAGGCACATTTTAAATCTTAGTGATACGATGCAACATTTATCAATTTATTTTCTATTTATTTTTAATGAACATTATAAAATAATGACTGTATTTTGGCAATAAAGTCAATAGAAGAATAAAAAGTATCTTTTTTGGCTTTGAGCTGTATAGAATTAACAAAAGTTACTCTGCTTGTAAAGATATTATTATTTTTAATTCTCATGTTATTATTCCATTACAAACTTGAAATTTTGCCCGTGATTTTGTATTTTAAATCCTAAATGAGTAATTTTTAAACTAATTACACAATTATGCCTTTATTCAGTTGTTTACAATCCATTTTTGCGTTTAAATGTCAAATCTTGTCTAGTTCAGCCATGCATTTCAATCTCAGCACTTAAATTGTTTATTGATTCATCTATTATCGTCAGATATATATTTGTAAACATTTTCTTCTGGAGTTCAAATAAGTATATATTTTTTCTTTTAAAGTTAAAATTGAAGTTTGGAATTAATTTTTTAAAAGTTTACAGATTTCTTATTAATTTTTTTCCTGCAGTTTATAAGAAGTATTTCTTATCTGAATAAAATCACCATCTATTGTCCAACTATCCTGTATTGGTAATTTTCAATTGATAAAACATTAGAAAGAGACTAATTGTAATATTGACTTTTTTTCCTCTAGCAGTCCCCTGGTGTTACCAATTGCCAAGCAAGACAGTTTGTTGGAAAAAGACATTATGTTCAAAGATGCAATGAAAGGTTTGTGTATGCAGCAGTCTCAGGACAGCACCCCTGAAAACCCCACGATGGGCTGTTCCACCAAACCCGAGCAGGTAATCACTCCCTTACTGCATGTCTACCCGTACTTTTTCATATCAAGTAATGTATTAAAATCCAACATATTTCTAAAACAAGTGTGCACTAATTTATATTCAAAGACAAATTAATGCCTAGATTAATATTTTGCTTGCAGTTTTCATAAACAATTAGTGCATTCTGCTGATCAACATGCATAATTGCTATTGTGCTTTACAATTTGAATTTTGATTATTGACTTATATACCAGGAATGTAAACTCAGCCAGCTCATTATTTCTTGAATATTTCCAATTGAGTCATTTGTCATTATTTTGATTTTTATGTATTCTGTGTTTTTTGGTTTATTTCGATGATCCAAATATTTTACGAACAAGAAGGGCAAACCAGTCACTGAATCATTTATTCTTAAAAGTAACTGTGGTCATGCATTGCATGTGTATTTGTGTGTGTCTGTGTGTTTACACTGCGTGTGTGTGTGTTTGCGTGTGCATATGTGTCCTTGTCTGGTGCCCAAGTTATGGGAGGTAATTTTGGATTCGAAGTGGGAGAGGGGAATGAGCTTGGAGTTATGGAAATTAATGTATTTTTTTATGGCCACAGAAATAAATGATTTTTGTATATTTCTGTTTTATAAGTGGCAGAATAACTTGCATCCTTGAAAATAGCTTTCTTCAGTGTATCTATTTTTTAATATCTTATAGATATTTTAGCCAGGTTTCCTAAAGATCTTCTTAAAATTTAATTTTAATTTTAGTAATTTTTGTTATTTCAAGTAACTAAAGCAGATAAGCAAAACATTTGAAACACTTTTAAATTTTAGCAGGTGTATTCATCGGCTCAAGCTGCCATGACAAAACACCGCTGTCTGGGTGGCTTCGACAACAGAAATGCATTTCTCACAGTCGTGGAGGCATCTGGATTCTGAGGGTCCAAGGTCAAGGTGCAGGTTGACTAAAGGTGCAGGGCGCCTTCCCACTGCTGTGTCCTTGCAGGGTGGACAGAAGGAGGCAGAGAGAATGGGAAGGAGGGAGAAGCAGGGAGGAGCAGGGAGAGGACACTCTCTGGAGTAATCTTGTGGGATTAGGATCCCACCCTTATGATTTCATTTAACCTAAATCATTTCCTTATAGGCTCTATCTCCAAATACAGTTGCATTAGGGATGGGGGCTTCCACATATGAATTTGGAGAAATACAGTGAGTCCACAGTACTAGACAAATCAAAGGTTAGGTAAAATTTAAGAGAAAATACGTATATATTTTTTGAGACAGAACATTGCCGTGTCACTCAGGCTGGAGTGCACTGTCACAATCATGGCTTATTGCAGCCTCAGCCTCACAGGCTCTAGTGATCCTTCTGCCTGAGCTTCCAGATAGCTAGGACTAGGGTGTGTGCCACCATGCTCGGACTTTTTTTTTCTGTGTGTGTTTTTCTCTTTTTTTAAGAGACAGGGTCTCACCGTGTTGCCCAGGTTGATCTTGACTTCCTAGGCTCAGGTGATCCTCCCACCTCAGCCTCCCAAAGTGCTTGGATTATAGGTGTGAGCCACCACACCTGGCAAAATACTCTTAACTTTCTTAAGGATCCTATTAGCTTCTTTTGACATTCCACGTGTTTCTGGGCCATATAATTTGTGCACTTTAATGTCTGGCATAACTTTCCATTTCCAGTTATGATTTAATACTATCCTGTAATTAGGATCCTGTATAGAGGAAAAATAACTATTAATTACCTAGTGTCTAACACCGTCTTACCCCTCATGCATTTTAACACTTATGCCCATAAATTTAGTAATCTAAAAGCTTGGTTTTTGTTTTCATTACAGATATTTAAGACTCAAATTAGTTCGCAGTGAGTGTTGAGGAAACAAATTTCTGAGTTATTTTACAACAGTTGAAACTCAAGAATGAGTTCTGTTTCCTGATTCTTTTCACGGGCAGCCACTTTGAGTAAAGTCTTATGGGCTGCTTTCTCGTGTTATATATAAAACCATTACTGCTCACCTTTAGATTTAACAAAATTTGTGTGTATATATATGTGTGTGCGTATATATATATTCATGTATTTCCTTTTGGGAGGGGAAATATTTCATTTTTTCAATAGCTTGTTTATTGATTAGAATATTACATCATAGGATTCTAGTAGAATAGATATGTGAGCAAAAAATTGAGTATGACCAACAATTGAATATTATTTTTAAACTTACGGAGTTATTTTCCTCATACCTTAATTTGTTACTAAGAATGGGAAAATTAATGTTATTCATTGTATGACCTAGAGAAATTAAAGATTACTTTGAAATGTAGTTTTGTTTTTATGGGCATTGTTTTGAAGTATTTTTTCTTAATTCATTTATAGAAATGTATGGAAAATCTCAGGTGAATAACATTCAGAAACTTTTGAATGCAATTAGTGATATGGCATGACTTTTAGTCAATGTGTATATGTGAAATTATTGTACATTTCTATTAATTTGCTTTCAAGCTGTGTTAATTAGGTGTTTGAGTTTAGCAGTAGTAAGTACAATGATATTTATTTAATTAAAGAAGAGCAAACTAGGTCAACCGTTTCATCAAAGTACTGAGATTTCTCCCTCTGTGAAGTTAAAACAATTTATGATTAGCAGATTGATTGCTTTTTAGGTGGTAATTTAATAAGATGTTTCTAAAAGACATAAAATATTCTTCAAATATAAGACATTCAGGACATAAGAATATCAAATGTAATCTTCATAGGCTAACTTTTCTGTTTTAATGTAGACTTTTTATAATTGTATCCTAGACATAAAAAGTAATTGTAACCATGTTCTATTTATGGGTTAATAGAGAGGGAATGGTGGCTACCCAGCTTTATGCTCCTGTGTGATCTAATATTCACCTGGTAATACGCTACACTGTATCCATCATATTCTCCTATGTTCTTACCCACAAGGTCTAGCTGGACGGTTCTCTCCAGGGAAGAGCAGCATGATAAACTGAATGGATTATATATTCACATTTCATAGGAAAGCTTTCCAAAACACTTTTCAAAGCCATAAAGCTCTGATTAACATTTTAGAGATAAATACATCATGTGGAAAAATTTTAAAAACTTAAAATAAAAACTACTTTGCATCTCTCTTTCCAGATTTTTACAAAGTGTAGGTCTTATCAAATGGTAACTGTGTAAATGAATATTAAAGACATGATTTGACATTTTATTTTTTTTAATTTCCGAGAACCACTCAAATTAACATTTGTTTTTATAATATCTCTGAGAACTCAGAATGTTTCTTAAGTGGCGTATAATGTGCAAGACTTCCTTCTCTTCCCTTTCCCTCCTGGTTTCCTTTCCCATCCCATCCCTCCCTGACCTGCTGGGTTTTTTCATTTCTTTTCTTGGTTCCCTAATTTCTTATTTTCCCCCTTTCCTCCCTCTCTTCTTTCAGACATTTTTACTTAAATTAGGTTTAAGGTTGAAATTGAAGTCAAGTGATTATTCCATTTAGTGAAGCCATGATAGCCTGGGGTAGAGAGAAGCGGGAAAGAAGCACGCAGCTTTGCTGTGGTTCAGGTCTGCAGCTCGGGAACTCTATGGAAGTCCCATAGCCTTACTGAGCCTCAAGTGTGAAATGGGTACATAGGACCAGCCTTGTATGGTTGTTATGACGATGACAGTAGATGGATGTATTATTTGTATTGTTATTATTGTATAGACTGGCTGTATGTGACTGACTGGAATTACATACTGTGGTTTTGCCAGAGCAGTAACGTCTTCTACTCCCTGCACGGATCTGGTCTAAATTCGTGTAGTTCCAGTCAACATATCCACAGGACTTTATACTCTTCAATGTAAATATAGATGATTTTAGAAAATAATAATGCAAAATAGTGTGTTATGTTGGTTAACATTTCAAAGCTTAGAAATGCTTTCACCTGCATTATCTTAATCCTCGAAACGTCACTGTGAGCAGGTTATTAACTGCTTTCACTACGTAACTTAAACTCAAGCTTCAAACTGAGTTTCAAGCTGACCAAACTTAAACTCAAGAAAGTTAAGCAGACTGGGAGCGGTGGCTTACTCTAGTGATCCCAGCACTTCTAGAGGCCAAGGTGGGAGGATTGCTTGAGGCTAGCAGTTCAAGACCAGCCTGGGCAACATGAAAAATCCCCATCTCTACAAAATATTTAAAACTTAGCAGGGCATGGTGGTGCACACCTGTGGTCACACCCACTCAGCAGGCTGAGGTGGGAGGATTGCTTGAGGCCAGCAGTTCAAGACACAGCCTGGGCAACATAGCAAAACCCCATCTCTACAAAATATTTAAAACTTAGCAGGGCATGGTGACGCAGGGCATGGTGGCACATACCTGTGGTCCCACCAACTCAGGAGGCTGAGGTGGGAAGATTGCTTGAGCTCAGAAGTTGGAGGCTACAGTGAGCTAGGATGTCATCTCTGCACTCCAGCATGGGCTACAGAGTGTGACCCTTTTCTTGACCAAAAAGTTAAACAAGTGGTCTAGAATCACAAATGTTTCTTTTATTTTGTATCCAGTACTCTTCTAGTGGCACTACAGCAGGTTTCTAAGTTCGCTAAAACTTTCTTCCTGTAGTCCACAGAAATGCAAGCACATAGATCTTCAGCCAGGGAAAGGGAAAGAGAAAGGGAAAGGGCCTGGTAGACTTCACCATTTAAGAAACCTTGGCAGAATAACAAAAGGAGGGCAAAACTACACAGGACTGTCCAGGCATGGCACAGGTGGAAGCCTTGGGAAGCGAAGTAAAGTATGTGTCATGTGATCACCCTATCTTAATCTGGTCATTCCGGTACACACAGCTTCTTTTTTTTTTTTCTTTTTTCTTTTCTCTTTCTGAGATGGCGTCTCACTCTGTCACCCAGGCTGGAGTACAATGGCGCCATCTCAGCTCACTGCAACCTCCGCCTCCTGGGTTTAAGTGATTCTCCTGCCTGAGCCTTCCGAGTAGCTGGGATTACAGGTGCCTGCCACCACACACAGCTAATTTGTGTATTTTTAGC